TAATTGTATTATAATATACTTACCTATATATTCGCTGCAGGTGAACTCCAAATCACCAATGCATTTGAGGCATCACAGCTCTTGATTAATCCTGCAATTTCAGAGACTGATGCCTTCAACAAATGTGATGTTTCATTCATCTTTAAGATTTTATCTTCGGTCTATATAGGTATTTTCTTGAACATGATTTCATTATGTTTTTTATACACATATTAATAAACTAATCATGCTGTATTTATATGAAAATTAGGATTTATAATAACGTGAAAGAAGACAAAGTATCTGTAAATAACTTATCTTTTATTTTAAATTCATGTTCTCTTTATAGAATAATGAAATCCATAATCTTCGTATTTTGAATATTAATATTTTCTCTGAGGGTATATTATTCCTGAAAGGAAAAAAAAATTCACTATTTTTAAGACACTTAAACACAGATACTAGAGCTGTAATTAATAACTTTAAAAGTAAATAGAAAATGTCAAAAGAATCTTAGGCTTTCTTGCCACTGTTATTTGGCTTTTGTTATTCAGATTTTTTTTGAATCAATTTTACAACAATTAGATTTTTATTAACTATTAACTATGGATCAAAAAGAAAGATGCGAAATCAGATTTACCTTTTTGTGGTCTTTCAAATCTTCTTAGGAATTTGTCAAAGAGACTTGAAAAGGTGAAGTTCTTCAACCATCTCAAACTCATCGTGTTTTTCACGGATGCCTTCAGATCAAACATGCATAACAAGTTAAAAAAAAAAGTAAGATTTTCTTTTTAGATTTTTATATCTGCTAAAAGAAAAAATAGAGAAAATCACCTAAATAGATTGGAAAAGGTGAAGTACTTTGATTTGCTGCCATCGATTTGCACCTCTTCAAGCAGTCGTTTCCATCTTTACCACCACAAGTAAGCCGCGGCCGTTCGTATCATGAGTGCTCTAGCTTCGATTAAAGTTTGNTAAATAGATTGGAAAAGGTGAAGTACTTTGATTTGCTGCCATCGATTTGCACCTCTTCAAGCAGTCGTTTCCATCTTTACCACCACAAGTAAGCCGCGGCCGTTCGTATCATGAGTGCTCTAGCTTCGATTAAAGTTTGGCCATGGAAATCGTCTTTCGATAAAGAAACATCGAGACATAAAATTTTGTTCTTTCCTTTCCATGGCCAAACTTTAATCGAAGCTAGAGCAGTCGTTTCCATCTTTACCACCACAAGTAAGCCGCGGCCGTTCGTATCATGAGTGCTCTAGCTTCGATTAAAGTTTGGCCATGGAAATCGTCTTTCGATAAAGAAACATCGAGACATAAAATTTTGTTCTTTCCTTTTCTGTTTAAAAAAAAAACAAAAAGTGATTGGTCATCGACCACACAATTTTTTCATCGGTTCAGATGTTTTTACTTTGGACCATTCATGCCGAGATTAGTATCTTTTGTATTTCAAGTTCTTATTTCTATGTGCAATTCGGGCCCATTATAAATATTGTGTTTGTATTAACAAACATGATTAAACATATGATTATTAGTTTTTACTTTTTAAATCTATGTTTAGACATTCCTAAAATATCTTAATATCATAATGAAAAACATAAATATTTATTTAGAGCTTAGTACAAATGTATGTTAACAACAAAAATTGTTTATAAAATAACTTTAGCATAATAGAGAATAAGTATTTATGCATAATAATATTTTTCACCTGAAATAAAGAATTACATCACATATACAATACAATTCTAATTAGTGATAATAGAAAATATGTTACTTATAAAAAACTACATACTATTAATTTCAGATTTGGAAAATAAAATTCAACCTTCAACACACAAATTTTTTTGTGATGTTGCAATTATAAATACACACAATAACTACATATTGATACTGAAGTTACTTTGTTCCATCTCCTCCGTGTAAAATATTGTGTACCAGCATTTTTCTGTGTCTGATGCTTTACCTCAAAGACGGTGGTCTTATGATATAAAATTTATTACTTCTAAAACTTTGTATTATTAAGTTCATAATTTGAATCTGTATATATCCGCACAGGGTGCGGGCCGGTCACCTAGTAATTACTTATTTGGTCCGACAACACATATTAAGGCTCGACAATCCAAATTTGCTTGATTTAATGGTTTTATCCTCTAAACCCATATTAAAAGGTTTTTTTAATATTAATATACCAATGATTCTGCAACAATATACAATTTTCCAAAAGTGTTTTGTAATGACATTTTTTAAAAAATACGAATTTCAAGTTTGATAAATATAATGTAGGTCTAGAATATTACGATTATTTTTATTTAGATGAAATAGAATTTTATTTAATAATTTTTTGATTAAGAAATGATTAAATTAGATCATTACGATTAATATATATAGTTGACTTTCAATGGTTTTTAACACCGAAATGTTTGTTTCGTAAATAACCTTTATTTGTCATTTTATAATCTAATGTATGTATATCAATTCAGCCCATATAAAAGTGGAATACATAAGTGCTAATTTTGTTTTTTTATTCATGTGGAAAGAATCGGGAACACATCCACAAAATCCAAATAAGTTTGGGCGCTTGAATTTATTTTTAAATAAAAGACAAAGATGGAGGAGGTTACATATTTACCTGCGTGTGCTTTGTACTGGCCAGAGAGGGGGGAATCCATTCCGGTGATAACGTGATCCTCGCAAACAATCTATTATCAGTTATGTGAATGTATTAGTTTTTCTAAATATAGAGTTATGAATGTATTACACTTACATAGTTTGTGGAGGATACACTTGCGGAGATGGTTGCTTCTGTTTATGCAGGAGAAAGAGGAGTTTTGGTGAGAGCTGGAATTTTGTTTTCCTCTTTAAAAAGGTTACTCGTAGATTAGGAAGATGAGTTTGTGTTTAAAAAATAATACTACTTTCCATTTCTGACGTAGGATTCTTGTAGTGATGGCAATTCATAATCATACCGTATCAAACTAATATTCAAGTATCTTCAGAATATCTGGCGTTTAAGATCTGTGTTTTTAAAATAAAATCAATCCACTGTAGTGTGTTTGTTTTGAAATTTAAAAACGCTGCATGGGTTAAGGAGAGAGCTGATGGACTGCGTAACTATGTAAGCAATTGTAATCCTTGCAACTCCTCATTATGTATAGGTATGCTCCAAGATGGCCATGGGCACAACCTTTTTCTTTACACAATACCACTTACACGTTTTAAAGACCAAGACACTTAAAACATAGAAATGCAATAAAACAGAATTATTTAAGAAATAAGCAAAGCATAGGTATAATCAAATAGATTATAACCAAGGTAGTTCCAATGATGCAAAAAAAAGTCTCAAAAAGAAAATCAAAAACAAAGTCTTAAGTGAAACAAAAACAAAACCGTACTACAAAATATTAGCCACATTTAGGACACTTCCCCTCGCCCGACTCAAACCCATCAGAACCTCTCTTCACCGTATCATTTGCAGATCCCTCCCCTTCATCACCAGATTCCTCACCCACGTTTTCTTCCAAGTTACCTTAAGGCTCAGGAACTTCAACAGGGAGCACCTTTGTCACTGTTAAAGCCTGAGTTTTGCCTGTCAAATTGTAGTCTGATACCTTCACGATGAACTTCCGAGTCTGCCCAATGGTAGCAGTCAAAGCTTGTGGCACTGGGACTACGTGATCATCACCGGTGCCCTCATTTTCCTAACATATTTCAACACACAGATGAGATTACAATTTCAAAGATGGTTGGTTAGCATGTTTGTAAATACCTCAAAATAGCTCTGGACCAATTCTGAGGCTTCCTTCCCAGTCAAGCCACGCCCAGCATCACCAAGGAGAACAAAATTGGCTTGATCACTGTTGTCGTAAACAGATATACTCGCCAGGTACCTGACACAGAAACACATTATCAATGAATGATGAAAGTGTGAGTGAATTAAAACCTATTCAACTTACTTTTCAACTCTGGCAACTTCAGCTTTACCACACTTCTTACACATAAGGCTGGTTGGCCCTTTGGTCGCCTTTGTCTTGCAACTTCCACAGGCAATGTAATACCAGGCCGATCCATGAACAACAGCATCAATGGTCGCGGTGCACTCAAAATAAGCAATCTGCGTAATAGAGGTATTTCTTTTTCTTTTTTTTTGTTAAACAAGGCTGATGAATATGGAAAATGTTTGTCTTATTATACCTTGGCTCCTCCCTTCTTCATATAGGAGAATAGGTCCCCAATAGAAGTCATCTCAGTCTTGGTGACCACATGAGCATTAATGCTATTAGCAACATTCTCGTTTGCAGCCAACCTGAACAAACAATTTTTTTTAAAAAAAAATTACCACAGAAAAGTATTACGATTTGTATACAACAATTAACACACACCATGTCAAGTAGTCTCTGGTTGGTTGAACATCATTGTCAAAAAACACACGAGAAGATGCTAGGGAGGACACGGAGAAGATACCTGTAGCATATAAAAAGGTAGCAGCCGTTTAGACAATATATTTACTCACTACATAAGATTAAAACCCCACGCAACAAATAAACTAACACATTTAGGTTGTTCTCCACGCACTCTATTAACTAAAAACCTATAAAGTGAATCAATTTATAGGAGAACTAAACCAACCTCCATATCGTTTTGGGTTAACAGTTGTCACCAGAATGACGGATGGATTGGTTCCATGAGCCTTAAATTTCACACAAAATTCAGTGGCAGCCTGGTCCCGCAGGTAAACCTTCATCAAAGGACCCCTGCAAAAAAAAAAAAAAAAAAAAACTCATGTCATAAGAGGATTATTATATGATCAGATCATCAGATGGACAATTGCTTACCCGTGTGTCTGAACATGAAGCAACACTCTCCATGAGGAAGAAATTTCTGCCTCATCAAGCACAAAACTACTATTCAAAGCCTGCTCGTTCACCAGTTTCATGTGCCCAATACAATCTGTGAGGCAAAGGAAATCATGCTAAGAAGCTATTATAATACACAACAACTAACTATAGAATCGAGGTCTATATAATAAACAACAACTCACTATAGAATCGAGGCTAGACAAAAAATAATTACCATACATGACCACTAACCAAAGCATATAGAATACCATTTAAACAGAAGAGATTCAGAAACCAGACACGACCCCATTCAGTTAAAATTTGTGGAATTCAATTTTGACATATAACATTATTAGAGCCAACCTGTGAGCATTAAATCTACTTGGCTTACCGTACAGATCTCCTCCCACATCAGAAGCCGCCTCAAACTCCTCACAACCTTTGAATCGGAACCGGTCTTGAGGAAACCGAACCGAGCTGTCCTCTAAAACAGAACAGAGTTCCACGAGAAAGTGATCTTGACACTTGGTTCAGCAACGGTAAACAGTCTTGCTCTTCGACCCGTAAAACTTGTTGAGCCTATAAACATAACCGGCAACCATGTGTGGTAAGTAGGTCGCGATCCTTCCTGGTGGGATGAGCCCTTGGATCACAGTACTCTGTTCATAACGACAAAGAAACGAATGTTAGATTGATTGTTTGTTTAAAAAAACAGGAAACTAATTAAAGATATCGGGATAAACCTCTTCATCGACCAGAAGCATCTCTAGACCAATAAGTGTCTTAGAGCGTGCGTTTCGAGCCTCTCAAAAATGGATAAGGCGAAACCTTAACTCCCCTTCTTGTGGTCCGAATCCAACATCTTTGAAGGACAACACTGGATCGGAGGAGAAAACGTCCTTCCCCTTAAGTTTCCTAGAGATAGAGTCGCCGGAGACATTGTCGGAGGAGGAGACACCCTTTTCACCGGGTTGGATGATTAGTCCAGGAGAGCGTTCACCGGTATTTTTTATGGACTCGGGGGCTGAGACATCGGGCTTGACGTTCAGATCGCCGGAAACAATCGCTTTGCCATTTGAATTCATTGTGTAACTTCTCGGAATCTGCTACAAATATAATATCTGAGAACCGGAAAGTAGATAATTGTGAAGAACAGAGTATTGCAGGGGAAGAGATTTATAGGAAACAAAAGCAAAAGAAAGTCGAAGCGAACCCATTATTGCTTTCTATCGGAGAATTGATTGCAGAGGAAGTGGAGGTGTGCTTAATTGCAGAGGAGGTTAACTCTTATGTCAATTCATCCACTCTACGTTAGAGAAAAAGAAACGAGAAAGAAAATGGCGCGAAATAATAGGGATGAAGCATCACTTCTTAGGGTTGGCTTAAACTGATGGGCCTAGAACATACAATTAACGCAGGCCCAAACGCAATTCTGAATAGATGATGTGACGCAAAGAACAAATCTTATTGGTGGATTAAACTTACCGACGTGGATGGCCTCCCTGTTGCTTGTTAAGCCCTTTTACTTATTGTTTGATTAATTACCAGAACATATGGTAAATGAACTATTGAATTTTAAACAAAAAAATAATATTTGTTTTTAATAAGTTAGATTTAAATGTATATTATTAAAATATAATTTCATATGAAATGTAATTCAAACATATATAGATTTAAATAGGTATTTACAACAATACAAAAATATTCTTATCTATTAAAAAAATATACATTTTATAAATTGGTCAATATAGAATGTCTAATGAGTAATTCGATTAGTAATTACTAATGAGTAATTCAATTAGGAACAACTCAAAAGTATAGTAACTGATTTTCTCCGGTAAATAACAATATTTTCTAAATCTAACAATTTTTTAGTGTCAGTTACTCTTCTTTTTGTGTCAATCTCTCATCTTCTCTCTTCGGTCTCACGATCAATAATCCAACCATAACAAAAGCAATAGTTGTTTATGTTGGTCAAATGCTTATTAGTTGTTTACGGTGGTCACACGATTTAAGATAGTTTTTTTTACAGATATTTGGTGTTTTTAAACATTGTATGAACCAAATCTCACTTGTTTAAAATCTTTTGATATATGTATAATTTAATAAGGAGTCATGAGCAGGTTTGCTAACCAAACCGTTATTATAGGAGTTGTTGTTATATTATAAATCTTATATTATTAAGTCATATTATTAGAAACAAATAAATGATAACTGATTTCTAGAGAATGTCCAAAATTTAAAAAATTACACATGAAATCGAGTCATGATTTCTATTTTAATATATAAGATAAGAAATAGTTAAATCAGCCGTAATTTCAAGACATGGATTAAATAGAAGGAATCAAACGAATAAAGTACGGATCTCATAGAATAATAATAAGTTGGAATATGAAACAAACGACTATAGGTTTGGAAGTTGCATGGAATGAACTATTTTGTCAGATACAAGTAAAGCCAGCTATGTCGCCACCGACACTTCCAAAATTCTATAGGACGCAGATTGTTCATGCATTACCCAGAGCAATCTTTGATTGGGCTTAAAATGAAACTCAGACGTGCATTTTAAGCTTCTTTTCTCACATTGTGATGTTTAAGAACCAACAGCTGAAGATGAACCTACATGTTGATTGTCATTGAGCAGAAGTAAAGAGGGTTAATATTTTGATGTTTGTGTGGCACATGACATGATTATAAAAATAAAGTAGCATTCATTTTTCTGATGTTGTAGTTAACTGAAGCTGTAAAATTCTTCAAACGCTCATGGATCTAGAAATAGTAAACATTGCTTGGATCATTTGTGTTAGCTATACTTAGAAATAATAAACATTATTTGGATCATTTGCCAAAGTTTCAAGTATATATTACATATTTAAATATGAATAACATAATACCTTAAAAGAATTAAGAATTTATGAAAATAAACCCGGGCGTAGCCGGGAAAAGCTCTAATTTAAGTAAAAGAGAAAATGTTAGGATAGCAAGTAAAGTATTTAAGAAAGACTTCCAGAAAATTTAACTTTTAATTATAAACATTGTGGTTTTCATCTCTTGTTGTAAGCTTAACTAATTTCAAATTGTTTTATAAGGGTTAGCACACTAATTGAAAATTAAAAATGTTTGGAAATCAAGTGAAAATATATATTTTAACAAACTTACATATATATCATATTTATGATAGCAATAAAATATTCAAGAAGAACTTCCTAAAAATTTAATATTTAATTAAAAATAAAAATGTTAGGATAGTAAGTGAAATATTTAGGAAGTGTTTCCTTAAAATTTAATTTTTGATTAAAAACATTTTGGTTTTCATCTCCCATTGTATGCTTAACTAATTTCAAATTGATTTGTAAGGGTTAGCACAAATTTAGGAACGGCTTTCTAAAAATTTAATATTTAACTAAAAACTAAAATTTTTTTGATATCAAATAAAAATGTATATATAGACAAACTTATATATATATATATATATATATATATATATATAAGTATATATATATATATATATATCATATTCAGGATAGCAATTAAAATATTTAGAAAGAGTTTCCTGAAAATTTAGTTTTTAATTAAAAGAGAAAATGTAGGATATCAAGTAAATTATTTAGGAAATGCTTCTTGAAAATTGAATATTTAATTAAAGAATTGTGGGATTCCTCTCTCATTGTATGATTAAATAATTTTAGATTAATTTAGAAGGGTTGGCACATATTAAGGAAGAGTTTCCTGAAATTTTAATATTTAATTAAAATGTAAAAAAATGTATGGATATCAAGTAAAAATGTATATATTAACAAACTTACACATATATATATATATATATATATATCATATTTAGGCTAACTATTTAGGAAGGACTTCTTAAAAATTTAATATTCAATTAAAAGAGAAAATGTTATAATAGCAAGTAAAATATTTAGGAAATATTTTCTGAAAATTTAATACTTAATTAAAATTGTGGTTTTCTTTTATTGTATGCCTAACTAATTTCAGATTAATTTGAAAAAAATAGCACATATTTAGGAAGAACTTTCTGAAAATTAAATTTTTAATTAAAAATTAAAAAATGTATAGCAAATAAATATGTATATATTAACAAATAAACACACACACACACACACACATATATATATATATATATATATATATATATATATGTGTGTGTGTAAATATGTATGTATATATATATGTCATATTTAGGATACCCATTAAAATATTTAGGAAGGACTTCCTAAAAATTAATATTTATTTAAAAATTAAAATATTAGGATATCAAGTAAATATGTATATATTAAGAAAGTTACATATATATCATATTTTGGATAGCAATTAAAACATTTATGAACTAAAAGTAAATGAGATCAAAACCAATGGTAGAGTATCTTCAAATATCATTAAGACTTTAAAATCTATGAAGAATGTTTTTACCACTTAAGATATAAGATGTTTAAAATGAAAATCATCATAAAAGTGATAAAGTCTTAGACATGTGAACCACTCTTTTTATATCTTCTTTGTTTTTCGTATATATGTATCAACTACTCATATACTCAAGTAAACCTAATTCACTATCATTTCTAACTGTTGAATGTATATTAATTCAAATCCAATTAGTTGATGTTTGTTTCTCTAAAATTAATCATATTCAATAGTCACACAAGCAAAAGAAACACCAGAAAAGAGCAATGCAAATACATTAAGCAGCACATAAACAACACCATCCACTTCATTATCTAAGTAAAAAAATTGAGAAAGAGTATCAGATGAACAGAATGCTTTCCTTATATAAGAAAACATAATATAAACTTATAATTCTGCAAACAAGGGCACTATATAATCACTAAGCTACACATAAAAAACTCATATACTTCATTTTCAAAGAATCTAGTGGAATAAAGTCAACAAAATAAGCAGTAGGCCGTCATCATCAGTGTAACGATTTAATCGATAAGAACTGAGCTCGTTTGTCAGTCTTTCTTTCTTCTGTTCAGCATAATGATCGACATTTTCACACCAAACCGAATCCATCTTAGAATTATCCTCAAGCCTCCAGTTGATCATATTAACCAGATCTCTGAACAAATGTGTGTTCTCTCCGTTTTTAATCTCATCGTGAGCCATCCTCAACGCTTCAAGCTGTATCCTTTAGTTTCCTCCGCAATTAATGGCTTGCGATGAAGAGTAGGCGCATGACATAACACATTGGTGCATTCTTATCTTAGATTGTAGCAATGGTTGTGTGTCAGATGAAAAATTGAAGCTTAACTTACCCCCATTTCCATTTTGTTGTCGTACCTTATTTTCCAACACAAAGACCAAACCGCTGCCTCTAAAACAATGTTACCCCCTGCCGATAACCCGATTATATATTTTAATTATATGTGAACGCACAGGTACATTAAACAAGTCAATAGGATCGTTAAATGTATAATAATACAGTAATACCCTATAGTATAATATGTATTACCTTACATGCTTACGGATATATCCATTTTGAAAGTTTATCATGTGTTGGATCACCAAACAATGATATGCAGTGATACATTCTCTACTTTCAACCATGCTCAAGTGGTGTCATAAGTAATGTAGTCTAATGTGTTTCTCATTTCTTGTATTTCTGCTTTACCTTATGTTGTCTTATACTTATCATTAGTTACGTTGTAGTATCTGTTTACAATTTTTGAACCGCAAGTTGTAACACCAGTAAATAAACACTCTCTTTCTCATGTAATTTATTTATGTTAACGTTACCTATTTCATATTTAGTAACTGATAAGTCCTATATGTAGTTTATGCATATTAAATTACATTTGTATCATCATGTTCAATCACTTTCGACATTCACGGTTGCATTGCATTATACGAAACTGAAATTCTATTTGGGTTACTGTTTACGATAATATGTAAAATTTAGTACATGTATGCTGGTGTGTAATAGTACTCAGTAAATGGTAGTGAAGGAAATTATACTATTTATTAAAACAGTATAGTATGATATTTATGATCTATGTTTGAAAATTATATTATATGTAATACATAATATGCTTAAGGGAATTTATTATAAGTAATACATGATATATTC